GGGTTTAATATTTTTCCTAGAACTTTTTTTTTTTTTTTTTTTTTTTTTTTTTCGTTTTGGAATTTTGGGGAAAAAAAAAAAAAAAAAAAAAAAAAAAAGTCTAATTGCTCTCAGCGCTTGGTTCTTAGGCTGGCAAGAGCCACAACTGGAGAGAAATACATCAGTGAGTGGCAACCTCACCAGTCTACAGAGCTGTCAGTGGCAGAGAACACCAGTTCAAGGGGTTTCCAGTTGCCTACAGAACAAAGAGAATTAGAAGGGGAAACCAGGAACAAATAAACAAGCCTTTCCATTTGTAGCAGTCTCACCATGGCAGCTTGTATTATCCTAAAAGCACTGTGAGAGCCTTTCAAATGACCTGCAATTCCCAATCAATCACTTCCCCTCTGTTGTCTCGATCACTCACCTACACTTCCCTGCCTTAAGTTTGTAGGACTCTTTTTCCTGGTCCTCCCCAACGTTCATGCATGCAGAGCTCTGTCATTTCCCCATCAGACTCAGATGGCTTAGTCTCTCTGACATGCTATGCCCTAAACTTTCACATACGTGCCTCCATCCCCACGTTTTCCTGATATTTCCCAGCCCCTTGCTTCCCTGTGCCAAACAAAAATCTCACTTCCTCTCACACATTCTCACCACACCTTCAGGCATTCAGCAGCTACACCACATTACCCCCTGCCCCGCTTCTCAGCCTCTCCAGCCTGTGTCCTCATACACTCCAAGCTCTGCTTGCCCACCTGTTGCACGCCTCTGTCTTTATCTCCCTTATCTACCTCCTTTTTCTCTATTCTTTCTTTGCATCCTTTTCTCAAGGGGCTGTTCTTTCTTCTGCACTGCCCTGTGCTCAGCCCAACCACTCATCTTTCCTATACTCTGGGAAGGAAAGCTTACATGTCCAACAGCTACCTGCACTGCTTTCATCAACCTCAGCCCTACCTTCCTCTTGTCACCTCCCTGATCTAAGTCTACTTTATGGGTCCAAGTCTTGCACTGTAGAGTCTATTTCTTCATACCTTTCAAGGGCCAGAAATGTTTTTTAAATTAATTAAAAACTGAAGCACCCTGCCATATGCAACACCTCCACTTTGTGGTCTGGGTAGATACAGTACCTTTCATTTTAGAGTGACAGTCCAGCACTGGGTCATGACAAATTGTGCATGGCCACCATGGGCGTCTGTTGAACTTGGCCCAAACAAGATCCCCAACTTCATACTTCACTGGAGTAGGTTTCTTCTTGGCTCGGATCTTTGGGGAAAAACCAGAACACAAGAAATCACTAAAGCTCCAGATGCTTTTAAAGATATTTGCTTCCCCCCTGTGTGCAGATTACATCTGGCCACCAGAGACATTTACATTAAAAAGCACGTCCTGATTTTACTTAATGGCTCCTACACCTTCAAAGAACACAATGGTACTCCCCATCCTTCTCAAAGAACAAAACAATAAACCGGGATTTGAAGGTGGTTTTTTTTTCAGTAAAGAACACAACCTCTGGTAAATGACTGTACTTAAACTTCACACATTTGAGCAGGTAAATATTTGGAGTCGCTACCAGCCCCCATTACTTCACTAACACCAATTTGTTAATTTCAAAGGTTGCAGGGTACAGAAAAAGTAGTAGTAAGAGACAATGAAATATTCCTCAACGGAAAAAGGTGATGAGAACAGGAAATTAAGCATTAATCAATTGAAAAAAAAGAAGTTAGTTATGTACAAGGTAATATCTTCCTGTTCCTCATATGTGATCAGGAAAAAACTTCAACATAAAGTATTTGAAAGGAAAAGCATGTACAATCAAAAAATACCCTGATGTCCTAATTTTACTTTGTATGAGCACAACTGCCATTGCTCTGCCTCAAACTACAGAGCAGGAGACAGGGAGCACAATGGTAGTCATCCCCCCTCTAGGAGACAGACAGACACACAGTTTTTGCCTGTCTCCAAAACCCACTCACAAGTATTGACTCTGTAGAAACAGATGCCCGAACCCATTCTGCTTCCCAGGGCCGCACAGCGATCACAAGAATGTCAAAATCTCTCAACACAAAAAACCCTAACACCACTTAATGTCATTTCTGCCTCGCTATTGAAGAGCGGATCCCGTGTTGTTCGCTAAGTATGCACACTCTCTGGCAGCGTACTACCAGCAGGACCTCTGCCAAAAAGAGGATTCAGGAGCTTACCGGTGTTGTGACTAATTAAGCCAAGACGGGGTACAATAGGTTTGCACAGGATACAGGAGTCCCCCTGCCCAGCTGTGGGGTGTTCTGCCTGTTTACCACCACCAGCAAACGGCACGTCCCCGGTGGGTTGAGCATTTTAAGAGCTCTAAGAAGTGCCGCAGGTATTATTCTTGCCAATAAGCATCAGCAATATGTTCCTCGTTAAAGCTGTCATAGCACAAACACGCACCTTCTCACTTCACTTCTCTGTCCTGCTCAACACCCTTCCAGAGGCACGTCTCTTGCAATTCGCAGTTCAACATCCTAGCAACTAAAACCCAACAGACCTCTCCAATAAAAGGTATATTCCACTTCGGTTTGAGTTTTATGGGTTTTCCTCATGTGGTTAAAGAAAATACAAAAGGATAAACTCCTCTGCTACATGAACAAAACCAGGTAATGACGTTGCAGACTACATTGCTGAAATTCTTCTCACTCAGTCATCAAAAGCCACGCAATAACTTATCGCTGAGCAGGAGCTCAGGAAGGGGAAGGTGAAGGAGCACCAGGCAGGGGCTGCAGACCCTCGCTCCCCCAGTCCTGCTGCAGACACCACCGTGCCACAGACACAGGCTTTCTGCAACAAAAACACCCATTCACGAGGACAGGAACAAGAGATGCTGCCTTTGATGGTGCTTTTAAAATGCAGATGCACTTTCAGATGCAAACCCCCTTTTTCGAGGTCCATTTCCAGCTTGTGTTCTTCTTGTAAATGAGACTTTTGCCTCTTTTTTTTTTTTAATTGTTTTTACACATTTTTCAACTCTAGGCTTTCAAGGGCGTATGTATATTTAACTGTCTCAAATGCAGTGCATAGTACACACACAATATGCGCATCCTACTGACACCTGTAACCTGAGCACAGTCAGCTGGACGGAGCAGTAAAACTATGCTGGAGATTTGCCAAAGCCATTCACACCCATCCACCTGAGGGACACCCACAACGGCTGCCTGGAGGCAAGTCTGCATTTAAATCAACTCTTTGTCACCCTCTAATACCCCACACAGACGCCTGATGAAACGTGGCTTTCAAAAAAAAAAAAAAAGAAAAACAACTATGCAGACAATGTTAAAACAGTTACCTTTCTTTTCTTTCCACAGCTGTTCTCATTCCTCCCCCAGTTTGCCCTCTCCCTTCCCCAGCACAAGCGGGCAGATGGGGCAGATGTTGGCCTCATCATCACCCACCACAAAGGCCCCACCAGTGGGTGGAAGAGGCAGATCAGGAAACACCATGTTCCGATACCCCCAGGAAGAGCCCTGTGGTCACTGCAGGTCACTCTCTTGTGCTATTTTCTCTCCACTCCCCCTAAAAACCCACCAACCGGCCAGAGATGCCTTAACATTAAAAAAAAAACAAACCATAAGAAAACCAAAAAACACCACCACTAGCAGAGGTGTGAGAGCAGCAGTTATTATTATTTCCAGGTACAGCATGTCTCTTCCTTTAAGCTCTGCTGCACGATGCCAGAATTACAGCCCCAAAGCATTACTTTCTTGGGTCAGAATGCAACAAATTTCATTCCTATTAGAATTAACATTTACTATGCCAAGATCAAACTGCTAATATATCCCAAAGGCCAAAAATCCAGCCCTGCAATAAGTTGTTTTTTGTTTGGTCTTTTAAACACAACTAACTTCAGAGGTAGTCCCTATATACGGCCAGAGTACTGTTTACCTACAGACCATGGAAATGTTCAAGTGTTTAAATAACAAGAAAAGTTGTGAGCTACTAAACACCAGGTAGGTACCACGTTATAACTCCAGCGGAGATGCACAGAGAAATACAAAGCAGGTAAGAGACTGGTTTAGTGCAGAAGGGAAGGACACTGCCTTGCTCCATTGGTGAGCAACATCACGGGGTTTGTACTGTTAGATGTTCTCCTAAAAGGAGTGAGCACTGTCTGCTCTGTTATCAACAGTTTGGCATTAATTTGCTGTTCTGATGGGACAAGCTACAGCCTAAACTCTAGACGATACACAGTATTTTAGATCACTTTGTGCTATTTTTGGAGAGAACAAGAATGTTTTTAATAAAAAAAAAAAAAAAAAAGGCAGATGTTTTTCATCAAACCCTCTCCACCAATGCAAGACCCTAAATAACCACTGATGACTGAGGAAAGGCTCACAAGCCTCAGCAGCAGGACAACACAAACATTTCTACCTTGAAAGTCACCTCCTGAATTTGTGCTATGCCAAACACACCAGTCTGCAATTCGCTAAGTGAAACACCAAAAGTCAGTGCTCATCTTCATGAGAAAGGAGGCTTTCTAATAGAAAGCAAGTATCCCTGCCCTCTTGGAATTCTCATCATGAGGCAAATGTGAAATGTGTCAAGCAAAAAAAGCTTACATTTCTAAGTGATTTCATTATTCTACACATACTGCCAGTCCTCAACTGTCTCTCACCACTCTTCTTCCCTTTAAAATAACCACATCATTAAAAAGTGTCAAAAATAACGCTTAGCCAGTAACCACCCTTGGCTACGTCGCTTGGAGCTGCTGATCAGTCCATTAATGTTGTTGGAAGAAGTGGTACAAAGCACAAGTCAACAAAGACACACATATGCTGACAGCCACGGGGTGGACCTTTTCCGCAGCACTGGTCATCTCTGTGTAACTAGAGCAGTACCATCATCTCCAGTGCAGCATGTCACAGCTGCAGCCACCCCGTGTGCCCAAACAGCGTGACCAGGGACACAACCACAGTAAGATCAAACTGCAAGCAAAGGGACAGATAGATATGTATTGTTACAGACTAAGATTTTCAATATCGTGTACCTAAAGAGCCTAGCTGTCTAGAGTCCAAGCACTGAGCTGCAGCCATCGCAGCCCTGCACACTTCAAATTCAGATCTGCTTTGGAAAGCCATCACGGAAATGCTTGGCCAAAACAGCCCTGTTATAGTTTATTCCTGACTTAATTATAAACATGACATTATTGAATGAAGCGAGGGACAGAACACGCTTTTGGAGAAAGGCTGGGGCAGCAAAAGAAATTGTGCGTGAGAAGGACGGAGAAAAGAAAGGAAGAAGCTACTGACCCCCAGGAATAAGGAAGAAAGATCCTGCCAAGCCTGTTTCAGGCAAGAATTGGACAGAACCAAAGCCAAGGTAGAAAAAAAAAAGGAAGCGGCACATCCAAACGATAATTAAACAATACAGTATAAACAATGACACTAACAGCCCTTTCCGCAGAGGGGAAGGCAGAAGCACAGCAGATACCTGCCCAGGGCACAGGATATCTCCTGAGCAGATCTCACCCCAGGAGTAGCTGCCAGGTAAGTCACAGCCTGCACACAAGCTGGCACAGACAGCAACAACTCTGCCCCATTAGCTCCCAGTGCTCTCTTCAAACCTTCTCATTCCTTGGGGAGCAACTCCATGCAACTTGGGGAACAACTCTCCTTGCAGCCCACCCAACCCCAGGGTTACAAACAAGCTGTTCCCAAGACCTACTTAAGTTAGAACTGGAAGCCTGGTGAGGGTTAGTCCACTGCCTTCCCCACCACTGCCTTTTTTTCCTTGAAGTTCAAAGATCACTAGTTTTTTTCCTGAACAGGATGAGATGACAAGGAGTTCACCTAATTCCTAAGAGCCACCAACCCACCCTAGATATGGCTGAAGATCAGCAGCTCTTTTTTCCTGGCATGAAAAAAAAAGGCACCTGGATTAGCCTGGGCCAAACAATCTGCTTGACATAGTATCTATTACCACAACCAGCCACACAGCTGGTGTCACAGGTGCACCATGCCTAGGACATGACACTCCCAACTCCTGCCATTTCACATCACACAACCGGTTATTCACCCTCTGCCCTTGCAAAGGAGAGGCAGCAACTGGGGCAAATTCTATTAAAAAAAAAAAAAAAAAGCACTCCCAGAAGTGGCCTGGAAGCGCATTGCTAAAGCTATTCCAAGAGTTTTCTTGAGATGGTGCTTCCCTTCAGCTAAAAGTTCAACCTCAATGAGTTAACTTACGGTTTCAGACAAAGCAAACACCTTCAATCCCAACCCTCTGAGGTCAGGTTTATCCTTCTGTCCCAAGTTCATACAGCTCCTATCACAGGGAGGTCCAAGATCCTTGAACTCCCGTCATAGACACGAAGCAGCGATGGCTGTAACTCTCC